CGGCGGCGGGGGGTCCTTCCGCGCTCCGGGTCTTCGGCGGCAATTCTGCGGCGGGTCCTTCAGTCGTTCTGGGACCCGCTGCCGAAGTGCCCCGAAGACCGGGAGCGCGGAAGGACCCCCTCACCGCAGAATTGCCAACGACGACCAGGAGCGCGGAGGACCCCCGCCTAGGGCGCCAAAAACCCTGGCGCCGCTCCTGGTGACACCCAAAAGCCAAATCCTTACTCAAGACATAGGCTGATGGGGAGTTTTGGCAAGAAAAGACCACCCGCATGCCAGCAAAGCCCCAGAACCACAGGTACAGGATATGCCAAGGCAAGGACGATGCCTGGGATATTAGCTCGGCATGTTCCTTGCAATGCACCGTGATCTTTGCAGGCCTTCCATTGGCTACATGTGCTCCTTGCCCTTTCACCAGCTGGAGGCCCTCTGCACATGAGTCCGCTTAGTTCCTGAGACCGTCCCCCGAGAGTACTCTCATTCTGTCGAACAGGAGAGAGGCGCTGACTAAATGTGGACTGTTTAGAAGTCAGACGGATTGCTCGGGCGGGGGGAGGTTAATCTTCATTTCACAGAAGAAAAGCATCTGCAAATATCACTGGGTTGCAAAGGAAGAGTTCCAGTTTGCTGTGATCAATGCACTTAAAGCCAGCTGGCTTTTCCGCCAAAGAAAGCACACCTGAGATACCACCTAACAGCCAGAGACACGGAGAGAACGCTAAGCACACAGCCTGCGGGGACACTGGCTTGGGGATGTGAACTGGGCTGCTCTCACAACCCAGGCAATCAGCCCTGTTCAGAATGTGGGTGGAAGACCTGCAAGGGAAGCAGCAGGAACCGTAGGAAATGGTGTTGGCGGCTCAGTAGATAAGTGTTGCTGCGGGAAAGATTTGGGAGTTGTGGATAATCAGCTGATCACGGGGCCCCAGTGTGATGCTGTGGCCAAAAGAGCCGACGTGGTCCTGGGATGCATTGACAGGGGACTCTTGAGTAGGAGCAGAGAGGTTATTTTACTTCTGCATTTGGCACTGGGGCGACTGCTGCTGGAATCCTGTGTCCAGGTCTGGTGCCCGCAATTCAAGAAGGAGGTTGATGAATTGGAGAGGGCTCAGAGATGAGTCATGAGAATAATTAGAAAACATGTCTTATAGTGATAGACTCCAGGGGCCCAACTGATCTCGTTTAACAAAGAGAAGGTTCAGGGGTGATTGATCACAGTCTATAAGTACCTACATGGGGAACACACATTTAATAATGGGCTCTTCAATCTAGCAGGGAAAGGTCTAACATGATCTAAGGACTGCAAGCTGAAGATACACAAATTCAGATGGGAAATAAGGCATAAATGTTTAAAAGTGAGAGTAATTAACCACTGGAACAATTTACCCAGGGTCGTGGTGGATTCTCAATCACTGACAATTTTGAAACCAAGCTTGGATGTTTTTCTATCAGATTTGCTCTAGGAATTATTTTGGGGCAGCAGGTCTCTGGCCTGTGCTACCCAGGAGGTCAGATTAGAGGATCATAATGGTCCCTTCTGGCTTGAGAATCTAGGAATCTTTGCCCCCGGCTGGTACTGAGCCATTGCCCCAGCACAGCGCTGTTGGGGGCTCAGCCTCTTACCTTTTGCACACAGCTCTGGGCCGTAACTATTTGTGGTTAGAGGTGGCCAAAGTTTTCCATGGAAAAACTGGGTTTCATTGAAAATCAGCCTTTTGGGAGATTTCAAAGGGAAACTTTGAAATTAAACATAGTTTGGAATTGAAATTTTTGTTTCATGATTTAAAAAAACTTTGGAAGTTTCAGGCTTTTGTTTTCCCCTCTCTGTTTTTTCGTTTTTCACCTTTCAGTGCAATACGAGTGCTGGCGATAGCTAGGGCTTTCCTCCTCCCCTCCCCCCAGCATGTTTCCCATTTTCCAGTCGAATTTTCCAAAGTTTTTTCCAACTTTGGAAATGTTACAGAGTGGAAAAAGGAAAAAGGGGTGAAGAAAATACTAGCCAGCATTCCCTGTAGTGCATTCCCTGGCAACAGAGGAAAACAAGAACTGGGAAGAAAAAGGAAAACATTTCAAGTTTTTCGAAATTTCTTAATGACAAAAGCGGTTTCATTTTGAAATTTTCCTGTGAAACACTGAAAAATGTCAAGCCAGTATTCTGCCTGAGATGGTGTATGTGAAAAATACGATTTTTTTTTTAGACATCCTCTGGCCCAGGTTACTGCCCAAGTTCCCGCTTGGGTGATTCCATTTTCCTGTCTTAGATCCCTCTGCAAAGACCTGGGATTCACCTTCATTTCTTCCCTGAAATGTTGAGTAACAGCTACGTTCTCCCCAGCCTCCCCGGAGAGTCCTGCATATACCGTTTGTCAAGCACTTTTGGGTCGTCCCCAAGGAAAGGAGCTGCACAAATGTCTCTTGTCATTATTACAGCTCATTTCACTTGGAGCTACAGGAACCTCCCGTTCGGTAACCATTTCCCAGGAGGGACCCACCAGTGTCTCATCTTCTCTTGATAGATCTATGAAGCTCCCGTTCACTTTAACTGGAGCTCCCTGGGCAGAACCGCAGGAGAAGAGGTCGGCCTGGAGATGGCTTAATGGAGGGCTGGGGATGCTCTGACAGAGGAAACTCTCGAAGGGAGGGCATACCAAATCATTATAGTTACCGTTAGTTACCGCGGAGATTTCGTCACTGGTACAAGATCTGGCTTCTGAGACCCACAGGCAGGGGTGCTGGATCTAGGGGGGTAGCTTGAAGGAATAACGGCAGCTCAATGCCTGGCTTTCATCATATATGGGGTGTTCAATGTTCTGTTCAATGGCTTTCAGCACCCCAACTCTACAAATTGTTCCACCAGCCCTGCCCACAAGGCGTGGAGAACTGACTGGGGCTGGTAAACACCCACCCCTACCAGCACGGGTTGGGGCAGAGCCCCACTGGCCAAGGATGGGTTATGAGCGTGAAAGACAAAATCTTGTATGGTGGCTGCACCGGAGTCTTTCCAAGGACCATTTCAGCCACCAGAGCTTAACGGTAAAACCATAAAATACCCCGGCCAGGTAAGAGCTCATGTTGGGGCGACACCTGGCATTCGGAGGCAGATAACAATCAATCGTCCTAGAAGATTAATGCCACGTTTCTGCTACCCGCGACTCAGCAGACGCTCCGGAGCGAGCAGCGAACTGCTTGTTAGATATTTAACCAGCATCTTGTGGAGTCTCTTTCTGTTCTACAAACTATTTGTTACTTTGTGGCCGCATCCTATTGGGAAACACCCGATCTGCTTATTGCTAATGTATCAGTTCTATAAATGCCAGCAGGAGGGCGTCTGAGACAGAGAGCCGGCCACAGCTTCCCTCTCACAACCGCTTAGAGGAACCAAAACGCAGTGAGTACAGAGCGTGTAAATAACTCAACCTCCCCCCCCCTCCCGTAACGCTCAGAATTCCAGGCTTTGCAGCAGGGCTGATGCGGCCTGGCTTCAGGCCTCTCCAGTGCCTCAGTTTACCTTCCAATCACTAATCAAGCAAACCACAACTGGTGTTTTCACAACACTGTTCCTTCCCTTCTGGGGGCGGTATGTTACCATAAACACTCAGCACCGTCCAAGCTTTCCCCCAGGGTTCAGTTCCTCCTCTCAGTTTACAATGGGTATCAGCGCCCTCTTGCCAGGCTCAAAAGTCTTTTCGGCCCTTTATCAGGGCTGCCCCTTCCTTGGCGCCCTCCCTCCAGGCTCACAGCCCCCCTAGCCAGGGCTTCTCACCCAGCAGGACCTCAGCTGAAGGTTATCCCCCAACAGACTCCTGTTCTTTGCAGGTCCCTCACCTACTCTCTGAACTCTCTGGGCTGCCCTTATATTCCCCAGCAGTCATATGTTCCCATCACATGACCCCAGGACTCATTCCCTTCACAGGAGGAGCAAGCTAAACCTGGCCCCCAGCTCCCTTAAAGGGTCAGTTCACCCTGACGGGCTTCAACGGAGCCTCGCCAATTTCCACCAGCAGCGGATCTTAAACGTGAAACTAACCAGTCTACGTCCCTTGCCCCAGGAGAAGGGCAGACAGGGCTTGATCCCACACCCTGGATTTCCTCACTGACTCCAACAGAGGCAGGATGAGGCCGAAAACGAATCCATTTGATCTTTTAAAATTCTTTCCATTTAAAATCACCTGCATTTCTAGTACTAACGCTAGGAATAAAGGGTGTTTTCAGGTGCTAACCACGTCCTTTTTCAATAACAGCTCCGTAAAATAGTGAGGTGCGAGAGGGGTGAGATTTGCTCGCTCACCGAGGAGCTGGGCAGTATAGAGGAGATCATTTAAAATGTCCCTGGGAGATTATTTTTTTTAAATGATGGGCTCCCTTCCTGCCGTGCTGTGCCTCGGATTACCAGATGTCCTGATTTTATAGGGACAATCCTGATATTTGGGGCTTTGTCTTATATAGGTGCCGATTACCCCCCATCCCCCGTCCCAATTTTTCACACTTGCTGTCTGGTCACCTTAGTTGTGGCCCAGACTCACCAGCAGCAGGCTGGGGCACAGAAACCAGGAGGGGAAGTGATGGTAACACAGAGCTGACTAGACTCACTGCCCAGCCCAAGCAAGGAGCACAAACTCAAACTGCAGCAAGAGGGACCAGCAAGGAGCAGGACGCTCTGTGTGGATCCATGATCCCGGGGCCCTTCAGGCCCCCCAGAACAACAGACATTTTCCTGACACTGGCCCTTTAAACTCTACTTTTCCCCCCTAGAAAGAAGCGAGCGCAGAGAAGCTCTTACCATGGGCGTCTCGGTAATAGGCGTGAGTGACGCTGCGGAACCTCTCCTGCCCCGCGGTGTCCCAGATCTGAAAAGGGCAAAGACAGGACACCATCACACACAATGCCAGATGCTCAAACCAGCCCAGGCTGCTCTGGGAGCCGGGAGGATACGCCGGGCTCCTTTGTTTTCCTTTTAAAGAGGTTTTATTTCTTTTAAGTTTAAAATGAATTAAGGGGGAGGGGCTGGATAGAGCTGATCCAAGGACTGCAGAGAAGTAATGGAAGCAGGATTTTGGAAGTCTCTTGCTTAGTCAGATGTTGAAAGGGACCTGCAGTCCCCCAAATCATCCCTGCCCCAGTGTGCTATCAAGATGGCAGCTTCTGATTGGACTGCTAATTATTGTTTTAATTCTACTATAAAGTTACCCCTTTTGACTCAAGTGGTTAGCCACAAATGTTGGGGTCCTGTGGGTTGGTCCAGTTAGAAATTATGACTGCACATCCTTTGTAAAGAAACAGGATTGCCTCAAAGAAGCACCTGATTCGAAGTCCTGTTTCTTTGAACACAGCAGGAATCAAGCAACAGGAGATCATGTCTTTGCTCATCGCTCCAAGCCTCTTTCAGACAACACTCTGCCCAAAAGCGCGCTCTCCGCTTTTTTCAGTGCCACACGTCCAGTGTGACTGCTCTTGGCTTTTCTGCCCCTTATCACCCAGCTTCTCTGATCTTTCTGACGCTTTCTCAGACACCCGTGCCTTCACAAAACAATAGCCAGCGAACCCCCTTTGCCCAAGTGCCTTTGCTGTGGGTGGTGACATGGGCCCGTGTATGCAGTGGAGGTTGTTATTGTTTCAGCTACCTGGTAACTTAATTGTTTCTTACCACTCTATCCAATGAAGGGCTGTGGTCACACCCAACCCATAACAGTATGGAAGCCACCTTTTCAGAGATTTGCTCTTTGTGCTTAGCCATCAGAATCTCTTTCCTTTCAGTCCGCCTGAGAGCTGGCCCAGCCAAGGGGTTGTGTAGGCAATTACACCACAAAGCCTTTGCAGATCTAGCCAGTTAGTTCTAATTGTTATTACTTCTTTGCTAGGTGTTGGCCACTCATGCTATCACCACAAGCTACTTGTTCCATGTCTCCATCCCTCCAAGAGAAGCACTGTGGAAAATGGTCCACTCAGCTCCCGATGGCTTCATGTCCTGCCAGGCCACGTACCGCAGGCTGAAGTGACTCATAGCTGGGCGTTCAGCAGTCTGCTCACGTGAGCAACACCAGCTGGCAGAGCGATGGAGGAAACATTGCGGGTTTCAGCAACGAAGGGAGAAAAATTAAGACCCAACCGGATATTCTTTCGGAAAATAAATATAAAATCCAGTGCCAATGCGCACTCTTGAGAAAATGACTTTAACGTTTCATTTCAACAACAATTCATGGTCTGATCTATTCGCACATGATTAATTTGCAACAGAGGGATGTTTGTAGGGCTAAGTATAGAAAAAGTGACAAGTGCAATAAATATTTAAGAGGCCGTCACCATTCTTCAGCATGTCTGAATACTAAAATGATGGCATTTGACAAACGGCCTACAATGCCTCCGTAATCGAAAATCCATTTGCTGGATGGATTTGTGGGGACCTACTAATTGAATTTATCAGTTTTTAATGCAGTGATGTGTTCGCGCAGAAACACACAATCCTATTGGGGGAAAGGAGAGCTAATGTTATTAGTTAGCTTCTGGCACAGAGGTCACAGAAGACAGCCAGATCTTGTGGCATTACAGCAGCTCAGATTCTTTTGGAACTGAAAATGTTGAGTTGAGATATCATGGGGCCGGGATGGATCAGGGGACCAGGTAACAGTGTCTTTCATCATGGAGTCTTTCACCTCAAGGGTCTTGTCTGCACCAGGAATTAGCCTGGATTTCAGCCATCATAATGCACCACCATTGCAGACAAGGAAAGACATGATTTAGACCAGTGGAACCCTGGTTTCTATTCTGTTCTATATAGGTTCTTATACCAAAAGCTTATCACCATAATATCTGAGCATCTTCCAGCAGTGTATTAAGCAACATGACTACACATCTGTCACATGTTGTTTGTTCTCTCATCTTCTCCCTGGGGGAGAAGTGGGTACAATGGAGTGTCTTGTTTTGGTAGAGTTTTAAGGTATGCCTTTTTGTTTTCAAATATACAAGTTCAAGTTCAAGTAGGGATTGTCTCCAGCAGTTTCAGTTGTGGCTTTCCTTGTCTGCATGGGTGAATTAAATCAGCAGCTGAAATCAAGGCTCATTCCAAGTATATACAAGATCCAAGTAACTGGCTTGAATCGGGGCTGTGTCCAATCAGAATTTATTCTCACCTGGTGGCGGTTCAGTGGCCAACGTGAAAAGAGCTGCTGGGTTTGGACCAGTGTCCCCAGCACAAGAATAACCAGCAGGGAGGTCAAGGAGTCAATGGACCATGGAGACTAGCCTCCCCTCCCTTCCCCAAGTGACCCCTCACAATCAGGCTTGAGGGGCATTAGCGGGGAAGGCAGGGGAAGCTTGCACCGCAGCCAGCTACGCCGTACTTGTTTAATGGTGCACAGAGGCCTGTCTCCAGAGCTGAGAGAAATTCCCACTAAAGCTATTATAAAGATAAAGAAACAGGTAAATAGTCGCAGAGAGGAACTAATGCAAAATCACAACTGCCAAAGCTATTCCGCGAACTGCTGCTCCCCAGCGTGTGGCTGACGCTTTGTTTGGTGTTAGATATTGCTGATTTCATTACCCTGCAGCACATGTTCGAAAGTCGCTTGCAGACGGGAGAGAGCACTCTGGTACCTTCCTTACATCTCTCGCAAAACTCCAGATTCCCTGGGGAGACCATATGCTGGGGAACCGTGTTAAGAAAGTCCAACAGATACAAAAGCCAACCTTGCTGGGAATTCTTCAGCCTGAGCAGATCTGAATTCAGCTCCACTACATGAGTTCAGAGGTCTGCAAGGTCCTTCTCCGCCAGCGTACTTGTGATCGTTTGATGGTCTCCTGGTCTATGCTGTGGTGGCGACGGGGGAGGTGGGGTGCCCCTTTTTAAACAACAGAGGCCTAACTAGCCCCAAGTAGAGTGGTACTATCACCTCCTGTGACTTGCATGCTATGCCTCTGTTAATACAACCTAAAAATGCATTTGCTTTTTTTTGCAACAGCATCACACTGCGGACTCATGTTGAGGTTCTGATCCACCGCAACTTCTAGATCCTTCTCAGCCATGCTGCCAAGCCAATTATCCCCCATTCTGTATTTGTGCATTAGGTTTTTCTTCCCTAAGTGCAGCACCTTACATTTGCCTTTGTTGAATTTCATTTTGTTGTCTATAGCCTTGGTCACCAATGTATCAAGATCCCTCTGAATTTTAGCTCTATCCTCCAAAGTGTTATCAACACCCCCAGCTTAGTGTCATCTGCAAGTGTGATCAGTGTGTTCTCTAGTCCTACATCCAGGTAATTAATAAAGATGTTTAATAACCTAAACAAGCTATCCTTTCAAACTAAACCCAACCCAAACCAACGTGTTGGTTCTTTCTTTTTTTGGACGTGCAGAAGGGTTTCATGAAGCCCTCGATCAACCGTGGGTATTTATAGGGTTCTAGTTACCATAGCCAGCAGCACTAGTCCCACAGCAAACAAGCTGACATGGACAAGGTGAGGATCATGCAGAGCAGGGCTTACCTGCAGCTTTACCTTCACTGCATCCACATTTAAGACTTTATTCTGAAAGAGAAAACAGAAGAATGATGAGAAAAATGTATCCTCTGTACAAAACAGATTTAGACAGAGTTACAACAGCAGTGGATTTACCCCATCTTGTTTTGTTGCACTGACATTTCATTAGTTTGTATGGAACTGGCCAACAAATACTGAAGATTTTCCTGGGTAACTGTCACACGTCCATATTGCACTGATTAAGAACAAGAGCCTTTCAGTTATGCAGCCCCTTTCATCCAAAGCACTTTACCAACTAATGCCTGGAGAGAGATCGCTGCAGCCAGTGCTGGAGAAGAACACAGCAATGGTTTAGCAGTGTACATCCACCCCACACAATAATGTAGAGAGAACTTTAGGGAGGCAGAATGTAATTGTTCAGAGTGGAAATTAGCAGGGCACTGGGGTGACTGACCCTTATGAAGGCAGTCAGTAGTCAGGACCTTGATTTTTCAACCCCTCTGAAAGACTGTTCCTGCCAGCACATTCTGGGAGTTGGGTTCTGGGTTCTCAGCCACCGGCCCATTGCTCTCACACCTCTGCTTCCCCATCTACAAAGGGGAGATCGTACCAAACTTCTTCGCAGGAGGGATTAAGTCATTACACATTCCTCCCGTGCTGTGTGCGCTAGAGAACACATGCTAGAGGGCATTCAAAGCACCACCAGAAAATACATCTGCATCACACCAGCTCTCAGCCAACACAGGGCTGTCAGATTTGATCCTCAATAAGGTCCTTGCGGCCACAACTGGAAGTTTTTCTTCCATTCCTGGTAAGCCTGCCCCAGCACTGCCCCTACAGCACAGTCCATGGTGTTAACGCACAATATTAAACTCAAGGCTATAAACAAGGTCACGACTGTCAGAGGCTGCATGTTCTTTGCCGGGGTGTCACACCGGGGGAAGATACAGAGATGTGTCAATGTAGCTACCTGAAGTGGGCACGAATGAGACAGGTCAGTGAAAACACTCCATAAGAGTTAGAGTTGGTATGGCAACACCCATTTTTTCACGTTCTCTGTGTATATATATCTTCCGACTGTATTTTCCACTGCATGCATCCGATGAAGTGGGTTCTAGCCCACGAAAGCTTATGCCCAAATAAATCTGCTAGTCTCTAAGGTACCACAAGCACAAGAACGAGGGTTCCTTTTACTCCATAAGTACAAGCCCAGGACACCTTCCGGCGTCTGGTCACAGGAGAGCCTGGCGTGACCTTGTCAGACCTGCAGCCGTGATGTCCTGGTGACCATCTGAGGAGCAGTGTCAATCAGTCTTCCCCCAAGTCATGGGCCAGGAATCCAAAAACTTCAGCACCTGCCTTTAAAGAACAGGAGAGGTCGGACGGCTAGTCCCAAATGCTGCGCCTGCATGGACATCCTGGAGGTGAACTCCTCCTGTCCTATAGATCATGGACGCTCTCTCCGTGCCCAGATAAGGGGTACGGTGGTGCCTCGGCAAGGGACGCATTAGAAATCTGTCAGTAGAACAAGTCCATGTCTTTAATATGAAGGTGAGGGTCCTCAGAGTCTACAGAGCCTAGCATGCCCCGAGGCCTGGCGGCTCAGATCAAGACACCGCACCGCGCGCTGGGTTTTGGAGTCTCTGCGGGTCACCACCTCTGCAGTTAAGATGACAGTAGGTGCAGAGTGCATGTACAGCTAATGGCTGCATATAGACAGTGCTAGGCCCCTCTCTCACTGCCTTGGGAGTGTTCTGACCCACACCTTGCATTGCAGGCAGACACGGCCTCCATCTTCCTCTGCCATAGAGGGATATTTGCCACTCGCCCAGCCCTGCTCAGAATGTGCCTCCCTGGGGCAAGCGCCTGGCAGGAGCTCGTCAGCACTTCCCCCATGGAACAGACCCATCTTAGGAGCTATTCCAAAGTCACGTCTGGCTCCCAGCGTAGGGAGGTCTCTCCGTTACGATTAGGAAACCCGACAGACGTGCCAGAAGCGACACAGTCACACTTGGAGTATTCGTACTGCAAAAGGAGAATAAATATGAAAAATGATCGTTTTCCACCCGGGTGCCTGACCTGAATCCAGGCACTTTCCTTCAGCGGCAGGGACATGCACGCACCGGAGAGGAAACCAACCCCAGCTCTGTGCCAGTCTTGGGCACCTACAGACAAACCCAACCAGTCTATTGGCAGCCGCTAAAGCAGACGGGCAGGTTGCGGAGACAGATTAATTCTGACTGTCCCCTTTGAAGGGGCTTTGCAGCAGGACGCAAGCGCCTCTCCCTGGGGATGTCCCCTAGGAGCAGGCACTTTGCACCACCCGCAGGAAAACGGAAACATTCTCAGCAAACCACGTGCGACTCCAGCTGCAGCTTCCCAGACCTCACGTTAGCAAAATGCAGCTGAAATCCAGCGGCAGCCTGGGGCGCTGCTGCCCTGGAGCGGCTCCCCAGGAATGCTGGGACGGCAGTCGCCGGCAGCGTGACCGCACGCAGCAGCTCGGCCTTAACTGGGCTGCTGTTGCGCCCCAAATAAAATGTCGCTTTGATGGGCTCAGAGGCTCCATTTCCAACCTGCCCATTTGGTCCCACTCTCTAGGGCTCTGGAAATTAACTGGTGATTTCCTCCCTGACAGCCCGTCTCCAAGCTGCCACAGCCCCCCCGGTGACCAGAGATACCAATGCTGCCAGGCTTTGCACGGCTTGAGGGGCAATCGCTGGCAGGCAGAGGACACTGGGGAGGGTGCAAATCAGGAGCGATGTCTATGGAGTAGAGCCACGTAAAGGAGGTCAGAGCCAGCCCGCTGGCTTGAGGGGCTGGAGGGTTGGCCTGACCTCACTCTTGGGAAGTTCTCAGCGAGGTATGGCTGGACTGTCAGCTCTCCACCCTCCCCTCGACTGTGGGTTGGGGGGAAGTTGGTAAATCCTACGGCCCTTCAGGTGGTTCTTTCCCACAAGCACTGCAGAGAGAGAGACTATTTTCAAGTGATTCCCCCTCAGCGTTTGCATAAGGAGTCTGCAGGGGGCTATAAATGGGAGCACGGGTTTCACTGCTGAAGGCTGGGACACAAAATCGATTCCAGACCTGTCTCCCTAGAGCAACGCTGCTCTGTATTTGCACTGCGCTAGCGTCTCCAGGCCCCCGCCCCGTCGGGCTAGGCGCTGCACAAACATTTTACAAACGAGATTCGTGTCCCTACAATTCGCTTTTACTCCTGCTGCCCTTGTGTATACACATCTCCAACTCCTCTCAAAATGGCCCCCGCCGGGTGGGGCAATGCTAGCGAAAGTTTGCTCATAAGTTTAGTGACCCCCTTCAAGGGGCAGGGCCCATCCCAGAGTTTTAAAATTCCCACCATCAAACCGAAGCCCTCCAGAGACCGCACTAGTGTCTGTTTCTGGGCGTCACCGCACCAGGGACGGGCAGACAGGCCGAACCCAGAGGATCACTTGTGTCTAATGCCCACCAGGGGGATTCTGACAGGCCCTCGTCTGATTCTTTCTTAAAATAGATGGATATGCTGGGAGGCATGGAGGTCTGAATACAAATGAGAAAGCATCCATCTCCTACACCTAGAGGAGCTCTTAAAAACCTAGCAACTGCCATTTCCGAACCGCCAGACGGTCCATCGAGCCTGCCCTCTCCCCGAGTTTTACCAGAGCAGACTGACACCCGCTAGCTCAAAATCCCATTGTGCCAGAGCAGACCAATGGTCCAGCTAGCCCAGGAACCGGCCTCCAACAGCGGTCAATGACAAATGCTTTGGAGAACGATATAGAACATCTAAAATGCACTGAACTGTGCACCATATGGGAGAAGGAATTTCTCCCTGATTCCAGCTGCTGATCAACGTCTGCCCTGAAGCAAGAGGATGGGGAGTCCTGGTAACTGCTCTCCCAGCTGCAGGTGTTATTTTTTATTCATAAGTGCTCAGGGGCTTCTTTAAAACACTTCCTGTGTTATATAAAAATCACCCGTGGAAACAATTTATATTGTGGTGCAACTACCGGTAGAAGATCATTTTCAATGTCAATGTCTACTGCAAGGTACACATATTTGGCAATTTAAAATCCAGTATCACTGGTGCTAATTTATACTATTGCGCATAGCTCTGACTGGAGGACCTCTGGCAATAAATTAATGAGCTACAGTATGCGGTGTTAATGGCTTTAAAAAGATACAGCCAATTACTTACAAATATCCAGTTAGTAACCACCCTTAGAAACCTAAAAATCACTTCTTTTCCTGCCAATTTTGCTGCTTCTTCAAACATAGAGATGTTCTCTCTCTCTCTCTCTCTCTCTCTCTCACACACACACACACACTCTCTCTCTCTCTCTCTCCTTTTTGTTCATTTTGTCTGTGTTTTAGATGATTGGACAATAAAAATCAATAAGAAAATGAGATGAAGCAGTCAGACTTTCTGCACTGTCTCTCCGTACTGCCCTTGTGCTAGACAGAACTTTAAGGAGATGAAGGATGGGCCAGAGATGATGGTGCTAGCTTGGGAATCAAAAGACCTGCATGACTTGGGACAAGACAGGAAGTCTACTCCGTCCCCCATAGGGGATGGAGAGAACAGCCCAGCCCAGGGGTGCTGGGAGGACTCATACACTGACGATTGTGAGGTGCACAGATGCTCTGGTACCCACGGTAGATAAACATGCTGAGCTGAGGGTGGATCGGAATTGCTGCTGGCTGTGCTATATCTGCCCTGATGAGCAGCCGTTCCGCTCGCCTCCTGACCCACAGGTTCGCGACACCTTCCCAACCCTCCCCTTAAACAAACGTTATTGCTGCGCACGACAGCAGATGGGCTGCATTACCGCTATCCATTTTTTCGATGCAGCCTAGCAATTAACGAGACTCTAATGCTCCTATTTCCTTTTTATGGCAGCCCCTGCCGCTTCCACCCTGAGCCGTGCTGATCAACCAAATCAACAAACCCATAACAACTTTATCTCCACATCTAAACTGCCTGGTGGGAAGGGGCAGCTCACGCGAGCCGAGCGGCGCCGTTCTGCTTCTCTCCTGGCTGCTATGCA